AGAGGAGACATCTCTATGTAATGGAATGCTAGCCTGACCTAACTCAGGTCTCTCTTGCTGTGCTGGAATCTCTGAGAATTAGTGCCCTTTAAAGTAAATTAAATGAAGACATGGAATTACCCCTAAATTTAATTATTTTATGTTTGGCTGTACCTGATTTGACCTTTGAGGCAAAAGAAAAACCAAAAAGATACTTCTGAACACCTTCTAGATATTGTCATTAAGAAAGCACATGTAATATAAATATATACATATATATGTATTCAAGCATTCCAGCCTTGATAAGACATGACTGTGCAGACTTTTCACATCCGAGGTTATTTGTGGTATTGTATTGACTAAGACAGTGCTCATCTACCTGCTGAATTACATGTATTGTACAGTAGAGCCATGCAGGGTCAGCAACAGCGCTGTACAGGTAGGAAGCATGCTGGTGAATCTCTTGTTCTTGGATCAGTTTGCCTGCAAGGGCTGGAGGACATGAAACCTTTGATTGGTTTCTATGCTGCTTGTAAAGGTGAAATGTCCTTTTTTGGCACTGAATTATGAAAATGTTCTAGGCAGAAAAAGAAACAAGTAGATGAAAATCTGCTATTCTTGATCTCGATAAAGCAAAATGTCCTATTACAAGAAGAAAGGAAATATGGAAGAAGCTGCACTCCTTCTGCCTACTCGGTACATGGGCTAGGAGAGGGAAACCGTGCATTTTTTTTTCTGAAAGAAGTGCTTTCTGACAAATTCAGTGGTCAGAAAGCAGGGTGACGGTGGGAGGAGGATGGGACAGGTAGTGTATATCAAAGGAAAGCAGCCTGCCAGTGTGACATGAATTTCCTGCATGTCAGCAGGCAAGAGGAGGTGCAGGAATTGCCTTGTAGGAAACAGAGGAGGACGTAGGCTAGGCATGCTGTGTAGATGAGAAAGATGGGTTTGACAGACATGGTGCCAACATCAAACAATGCTGCATGATGAAAAGCGGTGATTAAAGAGCAGTTAAGGAGAGAGTCACTGTGTGAAGCTGCATGCTCTCCCGTTCAGTAGGCTGCTATGACAGATATTCAGTGGTTCAAATGTGAGACATTATATACACCATAGCACAGAATAACCAGTGTTTAAACATGCTGTGGAGAGCAGAAAGCATCTTTCTGCTGACTCTCTCATGATTTAGAAGGGCTTTGTGCTTCTCGGGTAATAAAACTCAGTATACTCTTTAATTGTTACGGTAGATTGTAATGGACAGTACCTAACTGCACTGTTCCAGTCTTGACAGTGGAGACAACACCATCCGGTACCCTGAAATGAAAACAGGGCTTTTTTTTGCAGTCACCCAGCTATGCTGCTGTACTGAAAGAAGTGTAGAAAAATAGTGCGCAAAGAACTACTGTCTTTTTATTTAATATAAAGCTGCCAGAGGGCTTTTTGCATTTTTGCAAAAAGGTTTTTTGTTGATTTTGCTATTACCCCTCTTTAAATGTGTGCTGGGCATATGCAATTGCTGTTTTATACGTGTATTCAGTGTGCGTGCGTATTTGTTCCTGACTGGGCATCTTTGCTACAGCATTGGAGGGGGTTGTAGAATCCTACCAACAAACCTACTTTTAATTTGTTATTTGGCACTTCCCTCAAGTTGTTTCCAGTGGTTTAAAAAAAAAAACACAAGTGTTTATATATTTGCCATCTCTGATATTTCAGATCTTTCCTATTTTTAATCTACTCAGTCTACTGTGTAATCATTTGCATAAAACATTTCATCATGCAAGAGTGAATTCAAATTAAGAGATCTACTCTTGCACATGCCACGGTCTGGCTGAATCTGTGCAACTGGACTTTCTTCAGATGCTGGAGAGATAACATGTTTCCTTTTGCTCTTTGCTTATATTCTCCATCTGTCACAGCCATCTAGATATTTATGTAGAGAAGGATTTGTATAAAATAAAAAGACAGAATTAATTACATTGTTTGAAATAACTTTTCCCCTCACCCTTTGTTCATTTTGTTTATTGAAGCTGAATTTTAGTTTTGAGACAGGGACCATTGTTTATTTTATGTGGTTTTGGGGTTTTAATGTAAAGGCTCTTTGGCTCTTCAAGTGCTTTTGCAATAAACAATTTTTAAAAACGCAGTTAATGATGACTTTTCCCCACCATTGTAAGTTTTATTTCAGGGAGTCCTCAATTCAGAGGTAGTGTTTTATATTTTAGTTTAATAGCCCTTCTGTGGATTTGGACAAGTGATTTTTTTTCAAATGCTTTAAATTTTTGGCATTTACCATGTCCCACGTCAGGGAATCCTGCAGCTTGATCTATACTTTCTTTGAAGAAAAATCTCAGTTTTGAACCCTATTGGGTTCCTGTCTCTTTGAGTGCCCATGAGGGACTTGGAAGAAGCAATGAACAATTGTTTCATGCTTACTTATCTTCTTCTTGTCATTCACGATTTTATAGACCTTTATCATGTCCTTTCTCACCCATATCTAAGGCTACTCTTCTGTTTATTCCTGGTATAGAAGCTCTTCTCTAGTTGTGATCATCCTTGCAGTGCTCTTAAACCTTTTTCTCACTCTACTATATCCTTTCTGAAAGAAACAGACTGGAAGCATGTATAGTATTCAAACTGTGAGTGCACAGTGTGTTTCTGTAGTGGTATGATAGTAATTTTCTGGTTTTTCTCTATTCTGTTTCTAGCAAATATGAACATTCAGTTTACTTTTCTGAGTATGGCAGAATGCTGAATGAAATGTTTTCCTTTGGATTTCAGGGGACTATGTAAATTAATGATAGTATCCTCTCTCTCTGCAGCTGCCGATGGAATGGTGTGTAATGAATTATGCTCAAGTGATGGCTGTTGGGGGCCAGGGCCAGACCAGTGTCTCTCCTGCAAGCGCTTCATCAGGGGAAGGACCTGCATAGACTCTTGTAACCTGTATGATGGGTAAGATATTTCCCTTGCACTTTTCCCTAAAGTTGCTGACTAGATTGTTCAGGACTTTAATGAGTAAGTTGTTTTGGTTTTACATTAATCAATATCTGGTTCCATTGCCAATATTACTGATTTTGAGTGAAATATATTGTGGGATAAGTTTCAAGTATTTCCAGATCTGAACTTCTGTAGAAGGCTTTACCTAGTATTCTGCTGACTAAAATTTTCAACCAACATCAGAAGTTTGTTGTGCCTGTTGCATTCTTGATGATGTGAACAATTGGATTTAGGTGAAGGCTAAAAAACCCACCATTTAGCCCTACTTGAATATTGACACCGCTATTCAGAAACGCATACAATTATGTTCTTTCAGATTAGTTAGATTTAGGCGTGTGATAAAGAATAAGGACCTCAAAGTAGGAAAACTCACTCTTTTTTTTTTTTTCATAATACACTATGTATGTATACACACAAAAATAAATAATAAAACCAAGATGAGTTCTTCCCCCCTTTCCTTCTCCCACTCATGCATGTGCATCATCTTTTCTGGAGGATAAGTGGAGGAATACCTACATATGGCACAGCCAGGGTGGCTGAGTCTGGCTTATGACAGAAAAATAGAGCTGAACTGCTTATATTAGCTGCAGCAGAAAAATTCATGATTAGGCTGTGGAGGGAAGCAGGTGGAATTTCACTTCCTGTGTAACAGGATAGCAAGGTCCCTGGCACCTCTTCTAAAGTCAAGATAAAAAACCTAAATTATTTTAATTATCTTTTTCAGCTCAAACTGCTAATTGAAAATAAGATCACTCTGTGGTTTCTTTCCCTTCCTTTTCCTGCCTTGGATACCAACTCATGTAAATGTTATGGAAAGAGTATTGAATGAACTCCCCTATATATGTGAAAATATTCTAAACTCTTCTGTCTGGACAATGCATGCAAAAAAAATCTTGTCAGAGTACTGTTTTATGTGCTTAAAAGCCCACCTCCTCCCCCCTGCCCCAAAAAAGAAAAAAAAAAGAAAAAGAAAAAGAGAGTTGCAGACCACAGTTGTGTTCTCATATGCACCAGAATATATTGGACCACATTTGGTGGCTGGTGTCGCCATGAAGCCTATTACAGTAAGATCATGAGGAGGCTCTCATGACCAGCCCTCAAACCAGGATGTTCTGATCTGTGTTGATTAGTGAATTTACACTTTCCACAGGCTCAGTTCTTTCCTGAGTATGTGATTTGTGACCTGGGCTTGGGGAGGAGTTTTCCGTTTGTTTGTTAGAGAGCTCTGCATGTTCATCTCGCAGGGCAGCGGCGGTACTTCAGGGTAGGGTCAGATGTATTTGACTTCTCTTTTAGCCCTCAACGGGAAGGCTCTATCTCCAAAGCCAGAGGAGGGTGAGCTCACTTGCTGTGGTCAAGTTAGGTTTTCCTCAGCTGTATTGTTGCAATAGATCCTAATGGCTGTAGAGGAGCAGAGGAAGAACATGGATTAACTAAGAGCAGAGGCCTTCACCTTTACCTGAATGTTACTAGAGCCCACTAACATGAGTGCAGCACATCTGTAACTGTTTAATGCAAATATTTTAACTGGTTAGCGCAACAAAATGGGATCCATCTGCAAAGCTTAGGTGTCCAGTCTGAGCTAGTTACATAGATTCTCTCTGTGGTTAGTGGGAGAGAAGTGACCTGTTCAGGTGTTCATTCATCTCGGCCTAGAAGAAGGTGGGATGAATTGTGTTGGGAAGGTGCTGGGGGTTTTTTTGTGAGTGGCAACTGGAAGCTGAAATGAGACATCTGGTGTTTGAAGGAAGAAATCCCACCTATTATCACTACTTTTCCCCCCCCTTATAAGTAGTTAATATAAAAAAATAAATCACTCGGGTGATACTTTCTTGTGGATACATGACATAAATGAGCAAAAGGATTTTTTTGACATTTTATAGATTCAGACCTCAGTCTAGAATTGCTGTTGATGAAAAGTTATGAGCCTTTTGGAGAATGGGCTTTAAAACAGGAGTGTGTGCAGAGCCTTAACTAAAACAACAAGAACAGCACTGTGATCAATGCGCTTTTTAATCTTCTGTCTGATAGTGATGTCTCACATGTAACAAGTGGCTTCCTGAGTCTGAGCCACGAGGGACAATTCCAAAGATAAAAATCGAGAAATGAGCTGCTTTGTCCTGTTAATGAGGTCCTTATTTCTTAAGGAAAGAGGAGAAAAGACACTCTAGTTTTATACTGGTAAACAAGATGTCTACTGCTTCACCTGCCTATGAATGATGTTGCTGATGGGGCCTGGTTTTCAGCTGGTGTAAAGCAGCATAATGTTGTTAAGAGAAGTGATCTCAGCTGGCACAGTCTGCTGACCTTAGTGAAGCTGAAGTGATTTCCACCAGGTGAAGAGCCAGCCATTTCATCTTAGTTTCAGTCTCACTTTTGCTTTCTCCTGACTTGCCTGCAAAATATTTTCCTAGGGAATTCCGAGAATTTGCAAATGGTTCTGTCTGTGTGGAGTGTGATCCCCAGTGTGAAAAGATGGAAGAAAATATGATCACGTGCTATGGGCCGGTAAGAACAAAATTTGGTGTATTACGGGCTAGCTTGTTGAAGTGTGCTAAAGCACAGGCATTTTCTGCTTATAGAATTTAGAGCGGCTATTGAAAATTAATGTTAACAAAAGCAGAAAATATGCATATTC